GTTCAGTTCCTGCCACCTCATTGTCCCCTGTGCACCACCTGGAATGGTCCCTGAGCTCAGAGCTAGGGGTAGTAAGCCCCGAGCACTGTGAAATGAGAGCCCAAACCAAGCATCAATACATAACAAAATAAAACAGCAGGTTATTGAGCTAGAATTCACACATCACAAAGTTTGCCTTTTAAAATGACATAGTTCATTGAGTTTTCTGACATTCCAAGTTATGCAACCCCCATTACCCTCTCGTGCCAGAACAGTTTCGTCACCCACAGGAGAAGCCCCCAGTGCACCAGCAGTCACGCCTTGCTCCCTCCTCCGGGCAGCTGCCCATCTACGTTCTGTCTCTGTGGCTGGGCTTGTTCCGGGCATTTCATGCGAATGGAATCCTTCACTGTGTGGCCTCATGTGACTGTCCTCTTACTCAGCGTGTTTCAGAGTGTGCATGTGGAGCTGATGTCAAGGCCCTGTTCCGCCCTGGGCGGACAGTGGTCCCTTGTGTGCCGCCATCACGCTTGGCTCATCCGTTCATTCCTCCTTGGGGGTTTGCAACATTTGGGCTGTAGCTGCTGTTTCTCGGGCTCTTTTTTTCCCCCTTCTCTTTTTTGGGCGACTGGGGACTTGGCCTCCTGGCTCTGTGCTCAGGGGTGACCCCTGGTGGTGCTGAGGGGCTAATTGAGGTACTGGAGATTCAGACTGGGGGCCAGGTGCTTGGTGAGCGCTGTAACCACTGTGCCATCTGCCCGGGCTGCTTTCTGTCCTTTGTGATTCCCCTCGCCCGCTTTCATCATGACTCCAGCCTTCTTATGATCTCATTGCTTTATCTAGGCTCGGTATCTTTGAAGATCCTGGAATTTTTTTCCTGTTACCCCACTTCCTTGTGGGGTGAATAGGAAAGAGAGACTAATATTTAAAGAAGCTGTTGTCTACCATTCACTGTTTTTGTTTTGTTTTGTTTTGTTTTGGGCCGCAGCAGGCAGTGCTCCGGGGTTACTCCTGGCTCTGCGTTCAGGAATCACTCTTGGCGGTGCTTGGGGAGCCATATGGAGTGCTGGGGATTGAAGCTGGGTTGCCTGTATGCCAGGCAAATGCCCTCCCCGCTCTACCATCACTCTGGCCCCAAACTTACTGTTTTTACATTTTGGGTTTGTGTGTGTGTGTGTGTGTGTGTGTGTGTGTGTGTGTGTGTGTGTGTGTTTCGTGGGTGTTTGTTTTTCTCTCTCTCTTTTTTTTTTTTTTTTTGCTGGGATCCAAATCAGACCACATACGTATAAGGCTAATGTGCTATTGCCAAGCCATGTCCTGACTCTTGTGGCAACTTTCTTAATGATAAAATGAAGTTTCAGGGAGAGGAATGGGTCAGCCTTGTGGGGTTCCTAGAATCCAGTTCCTGCCAACCATCCTGCTGGTAAAAGGCGGGTAAACCTTTTGTTTGGCCCAGAGCCGCACCCCAGATGCCTCTCCACAGGCTCTCCTGCTCCGAGCACTCCCCTCCCCGCTTTGCCAAAGAGGCTCTTTGTAGGGGGAAAAGATTTTTGTGACCCTCACCTTCATTCCCTTCTCTTCCCTTCTGGGTTTTGAAAACCCCCATCAGCCCTTCTCGCATGCTGGCTCCCAGCGTCTGAAATATCAGCCTCTGCCTTCCTGCTTCATTTGCATTTCAAAAAGATCGCTTTAGGACTTGATGGGGCTTCCTGATATACTTAAGAGCCCTTCTGGGCTTCTTTTGGGCCCCGGTCTGACCTGGCTGCTTTATTAGAAAATCATCTGGAACTTATTTTTATTTATTTATTTATTTATTTATTTATAATTATTTTTAAAAATCCATATTCTGGACTTTTATTTTTAATTCAGTTTTATTTTATTTGGCTTTTGGGGACACACCTGACGATACTCAGGGGTTACTCCTGGCTTTGCACTCAGAAATTACTCCTGATGGTGCTCTGTGCTCGGAGGGCCATATGGGATGCTGCTGTACTACCGCTCCGGCCCCCAGGGAACTTATTTTTAAATGCGAATGCCAGGACCTGGGCATGTGGCTTAAGAGGCAGAGACCCTGCTTGGCATGGTGTGAGGCTCCTGCTTTCAGCCCCAGCACCGCGTGTCCCCTACCAGCTCTGCATGGTGTCTCCAGAGAGCCCCCCACACAGTTAAAAACAAAATCAACCCTGGCGACTTCTCCCATCAGTTCTCTGGGATTGGGGGCTTAAGCGTCGGTACTGTTCCCCTGCGCAGTTCCCCGTGAGGTCGTGCTGTCCTCGGATCCCGAAGACCAAGACGCTGCGAGCCGGCTCTGGCCCTCACCGGCAGGGCACCGTTTTTTTCAGGACTAGGTGAAGAGTTTTGCCAAGGACTGGGGGATCTTTCTCTCTGTTCCAGTAGAGTAGGGGCTTGGATTAAATCGTTGGTTCTCATTATCAGGATTAGGAGTGAGAGGCGGGATGGGGGCAGGAGGAGGCATATATTCAAACTGTAGTCCGGAGCCATTTCAGAAAATGTCTTCTTGGGACCAGGGTAGCAGCTTCAAGGGTGCACCTGCTTTGCATGCAGGAGGCCTGGGTTGGATCTCCGCCATCCCCAAAGTCCCCTGAGCACTGCGAGGGTCTCCCTGAATGAAAACAACAACTTGGGAAAAAGCCTAACGATCCTATGTGGGGTGTATAGTATGGATCACCCCCTATAGGAAGAAGTGTTTAATGGAATCATGCATCTAGTAGACTCTAGAACATTGAGAAGCTTCAGTAATAATTTTTGGAGGGGTGGGGAGCTTTTGGGTCACACCTGCTGATGCTCAGGGCTTACTCCTGACTCTGCACTCAGAAATCATGGCTGGGGGTGCTCAGGGGACCTTATGCGATGCCATGCCTGGGATGAAGCCTGCGTCAGCCAAATGCAAATGCCCTACCCATTCCACCACCTCTTCAGCCTTCGCTAATGATTATTATAGCATTTCCTCACCTTCCCTTGCATAGAACTTCTACCATTTTGCCTTAGTTTCTTTCCTTTCCTTCATCCCCTCCCTCGCTCCCTTCCTTCCTTTTCCTAACAAGGGCCTCTCAGTGTAAGGGCCTCTCTGCCACATCCTGGCCCTCCCCACTTTGCATTCCTGCCAGTGATATATGAGCACTTCTGTGTCTCCATAGTTTCACTGATAAAATGCATTGTCAGGTGTTTGGGTTTGAGCCCATCTGATTAAGAAATAGGATCTCCGAGTTTTCATTTGCGTTTCTGTCATAAATAAGGTTGAGCCTTTTTCTGCAGTTAGAAGCTATTTACCTTCCTTTTCTTCTGAACTTTTTTTTTTTGGACCACACCCACAGGTGCTCCATGTTTACTCCTGACTCTGTGCTCAGGGATCAGTCCTGGTGGTGCTCAGGGGAATCGAACTCAGGTTAGACGTGTACAAGGAAAGCACCTGGTCTATACTATGTCTCTGGCCCCTGACCTGTTTGTTAAATATGTATATATATATTTTTTCAGCCTATTTTTCTTTTCTTTCCTTTTTTTTAAATTAAAATTTTTATTAGAGAAATAGTACAGTGGGTAAGGCACTTGCCTTGCACACGGCCAACCTGGGCCCCATCATCGGCATCCCATATGGTCTCCTGAGCACCGCCAGGGGTGATCCCTGAGTGCAGAGCCAGGAGTGATCCCTGGGCGTTGCCAGGTGTGAGCCCAAAACGAAAAATTGAACAAATAATAAAAAACAAATTATTCTCTGTTTTGTATAGCTCTTTGTGTATGGACGAGATTAACTGTTAGTGCAATAGCAAATGTTTTTCTTAGTTATTTAGACCTTTGCTTTTCTGTGGGTGTTTTTTTCTTCATGGAATTTGCTTATCTAATCAAATATACAAATTATTTCCCCTGTAGCTTCTGAATTTTCCCCGCTCATGATGAGGCTGATAATTACATCTTTAGTGGCTCCTAATCTGCATGAAAGCATCATTTAAATTGTAGAAATGAGGGAGCTCCTGTACTATCCAAGGGCCCCCCGCCCCCCTTGTGACTGATTTGTTGCCCCTTGTTCATTTGGTGTATTAGTGTTCCTAAGGATTGTCGGTCCCTGCTGGGATTCTGGTTCTGAGAGGACAGGATTCTTCTGGGGATGGAGATTTGCAGGGATTCTCTCTCTCTCTCTCTCTCTCTCTCTTTCTTTCTTTCTCCTCTTTCCGCCCCCCCCCCCCCGGGGGGGGGTGGTCAGACCTTCAGGACTGGGATGGGGGCAGGAGGAAATGCAATGCAGAACATTTGCTCACTTGACTTCAACCAGGGACTGAGGGGAAGGCTGGAAGGGTGGGCGTGCACGCTCTGTAGGTGGGAGGCTGCTTTCCTCCGGAGCACTACAGGGAGTAACTCCCCTGCCCTGATCAGGGATGGCTTTCCCCAGCACCATGGATGTAGCTCCAATACGAAAAGCAAGCCAAGGAAAATTGGCCTCAACCAGGCAGCTCTGAAGCTAGAGTGACCCTTGAGAGGGTCCCAAGGGGGCAGGGACCAGTGCTAGCATGTGGGCTCTGTCCAGGGGGGCACGTGGCCTCGGACTAGGGAGCTGCTCTCGCCAGCAGCACTCGAGGTCCCAGCGAGGGGAACAGGTGCCACTGTGCTGAGTGGGTCTGGATACAGCGTCTCGGTGTCTTCCTTCCTGAGACCCTCTCCTGCCTTGGGCACTGCTGCTGCCTCCTTGGAACCCCTAGTGGGGCCGGCCACTTCAAGGATGCTCAGGAAACCCTTGGTGAGCCAGAAACCCAGTTGCAGGGGTCTAAGCCCCTGGCGGACCCCAGAGTAGATGTATCCAGAATCGTCTCTTCCTCCATAGCTTCTGGGCCGCCGCCTCCGGAGCGTGCCTCCCCGCCTGCTCTGGGAAGTCGCTCTGGTTCCACCATAGGTGCTGGGAGGTGTCGGGTCCAGGCTCTGCTCAACTCTCGGAGGGACTCCAACACTGTCCCTTTCCTTTAGCTGGCCCTGCCCATGTTCAACTCGTTGTGTTGTTTACCTCCCTCTAGCACTCCTTGAAGAAGAGAGGGACCCGCTCCCTGGGGAAGACGGACAAGAAGCCTTCGGTGCAGGTACTTCCCAGCCGTCTCCGCACAGCCCCCGCTCGGGCGCCCAGCTTCTCCCCCATTCTCCCGGCCTCTGTTTTCTCTCCTTTTCTTTGGTGTGTGACCAGGTGGGTGTTTGGGGTCCCCCGCCCCGCCCCCACCCCGCCCCCACAGTGCTCAGGTGACCTTATGTGGCTCCAGAGATGGCATCGGCGGCATGCAAAGCAGATGCCTCCACCCCTGCACTGTGTCTCCGGCCCTGACTCCATTCTCTCATTTTCGTGCCCATTTCACTGCCAGACACCTCGCCCTGAGCTTGGCATTCGCCCCCAGCTCAGATGGAGCCCAGGCCAGGCGTCGGACGTGGTTGGCGTCCGGGCGGGCAGGGTGCCAGTTGCTTCTCTTGATTCTCTCATTTCACTCCATCCCTGGCTTTGTGATGGAGGGAGCATTACTGCTTCATTTCACGGAGGAGGAAACGGATAGTAATCATTGTAGTGAGAGCAGCAATACTCATTCCATGTTGTCTACTCCAGGAAGCCTTCCTGGGCTACCCAGGCTCTACGCCTAGTGCTCCATCCCCCCCACCCCTTCTTCTCCACACCTTGAACTCTTTTAAGGTCAGGGCCATGTGGATGCATTCCGGGGTGCCCCGCCTAGCCCAGTCCGTGCTCCCTGAACTACCTCGTGCGCGTCTCCAAGTGCTAACCCTCGCGGGTCCCGTGTGTCCCTGTGCCCACCCAGGAGGACAGCGCGGACCTGCGGTGCCAGCTGCACTTCGCGAAGGAGGAGTCCGCCCTCATGTGCAAGAAGCTCACCAAGCTGGCCAAGGAGAACGACGGCATGAAGGAGGAGCTGCTCAAGTACCGCTCGCTCTACGGGGACCTGGAGGGCGGCCTGTCGGCCGAGGAGCTGGCGGCCGCCCCGCACTCGCGCGAGACCGAGCTGAAGGTGCACCTCAAGCTGGTGGAGGAGGAGGCGAACCTGCTGAGCCGCCGCATCGTGGAGCTGGAGGTGGAGAACCGCGGGCTGCGGGCGGAGATGGACGACATGAAGGACCAGCCTGGGGCCGGCCCCGGGGGGCTGGAGGCCCGCCTGGCCTTCTCGGCGCTGGGCGGCGGCGGCGGGGAGTGCGGGGAGAGCCTGGCCGAGCTGCGGCGGCACCTCCAGTTCGTGGAGGAGGAGGCCGAGCTGCTGCGGCGCTCGTCCGCCGAGCTCGAGGACCAGAACAAGCTGCTGCTGACCGAGCTGGCCAAGTACCGCTCGGAGCACGAGCTGGACGTGACCCTGTCGGAGGACAGCTGCTCCGTGCTCAGCGAGCCCTCGCAGGAGGAGCTGGCGGCCGCCAAGCTGCAGATCGGCGAGCTCAGCGGCAAGGTGAAGAAGCTGCAGTATGAGAACCGCGTGCTGCTGTCCAACCTGCAGCGCTGCGACCTCGCCTCCTGCCAGAGCACGCGGCCCATGCTGGAGACGGACGCCGAGGCGGGCGACTCCGCCCAGTGTGTGCCCGCCGCCCTGGGCGACGCCGGCGGGCCCCACGCCGCCCGGCTGTGCCGGAGCAGGGAAGCCGAGGCGCTCCCGGGGCTGCGTGAGCAGGCCGTCCTGGTCAGCAAGGCCATCGACGTGCTCCTGGCCGACGCCAACGGCTTCTCGGCTGGCCTCCGGCCTTACCTGGACAACGAGGGTGTGGATTTCCGGCTGCACGAACCCCCCGACAACAGTGAGGGGCCCCGGGACTCCAAGCTCCTGCACGCGCTCCTGGTGCGGCTGAGCCTGCTCCAGCAGGAGCTCAATGCCTTCACCAGGAAGGCCGACCCCGTCCTGGGCAGCTCCGTCAAGGAGCCCCCGGAGCCCTTCCCGACGCTGCCCCCCTTGGGCTCCCAGGGGCCCTCCAAGGAGATGCTTCTGGCCAAAGACCTTGGCTCCGACTTCCAGGTGAGCTGCCTGCGTCTCAGACCCTCCCAATATGTCCTTTGTTCTCAGAAACATTTTCCTGATGCCTAACGGCCAGAGAGGGACGTGCACCCTGTGAATCTAGGGGCACACACAGCAGCTGTCACCCGGACCAAGGGCTAGCTAGAGCGTGACCAGCTGGAAGTGCTTGCTTAGACCCCCTTCTGACCACTGCCCCTGGGCCCAAGAGTCACCTGTCTCTTGAATCTCCTTTTATTTTTTTTCCACAGGGGCAGGGAGGGCCCAGTGGCCAACTGTGCTCAGGGATCAGCCTGGTGGAGCTCAGGGAACCATATGGGGTGGCGGCGATCACAGAAAGCATCTTACCAGTTGTACTATCTCCAGCCGTTAGTCTTAGTTTTTAGGGTTTTTTTTTTTTTTTTTTTTTTTTTTTGCTTTTTGTGTCACACCTGGAGATGCTCAGGGGTTACTCCTGGCGGGGTGCTGGGGGACCATATGGAATGCTGGGAATCGAACCCAGGTCAGCTGTGTGCAAGGCCAACGCCCTACCCACTGTGCTATCGCTCCGGCCCCAGTTTTAGGTTTTGTGTTTGTTTGGAGGCCACACCCGGTAGGCTCAGGGATGACTCCTGGCATGTGCTCGGGAGACCACCGAGGAAGCCAGGGATGGAACCCAGCTCGGCTCCTCTCTCACTGCCCTGTCTCTGGCCCTGGCTGCTGATGTTCGGATGAATGAAAATGCTTTGTTGGAAATGACTCCTCCCTCACAACCGCCTTGGCCGTGGCCAGTGCCCCCCGTGTGGGGTCATGGGAGAGAGCCGCTCCTTAGGATGCCACGTCAGGGAGAAAGGCCGGACTGCAGTGGGCTCCGCGCGAGGCCGCATGGTTCTGGGAACGGGGAGTGTACACAGCAGGGGCGAGCCGCGCTGACCGGGAGGGTGCCCGGAGCAGAGTCTCCACAGGGGGAACAGCCCAGGGAGCAGGAGGGAGGCGGGGCTGGACATCACAGGGCAAGGGCAGGGCCTCCTCTTTCCGTTCCATGCTGGAGACTGGACTCTCCCAGGAATGACAGGGCACCTGCCTTCAGCCCTGCCCCTGGCTGGTGGATATGGCGAGAGGGGTATCGGGCCACACCCGGCAGTGCTCAGGGGTCACCGTGGAGGTGCTTGGGGACAATGGGCTATGCTAGGGGGTGAACCAGTGTTGGTCATGTACATGGCAAGCATCTTAGCCCTGTTCTATCTCTTCGGGCCCTGGTCTAACTATTTGGTTTTGGGGTATTTTTTTGCTTTTGTCTTTGGTTTTGTTCTTTTGGGTTTTTTGTTTGTTTTTATGGGGGTGGGGGTGTGGTTGGGCCACACTTGACAGTGCTCAGGGCTCACTCAAGCTCTGCTCAGGCATCTGTCCTGGAATGCTGGGCCTTGAACCTGGGTCAACCACGTGTAAGGCAAGTGCCCTCCACTCTACTATTTCTCCAGCCTGTCTATTTTGGTTGTTGTTTTGCTTTTTTGTGTTTGCTTTGGGGTCATATCTGGTGGTACTCAAGGTTCTGGCTCTGTGCTCAGGAGTGACCCCTGACATTTGTGGTGCTGGAGATTCAGATTGGGTCATAACCCCTGCGATTAGGTCATGACCCTTGCAGACACAGACACACACACACACACACACGGTTGGTGCTTCACCTCTTGTGCTCTCTCTCCAGCCCTCTCTGGCTTTTTTTGTTTCAGTTTTCTGGGCCCACACCCAACTGTGCTCAGGCTGACTCCTGGCTCTACACTCAGGGGTCACTCCTGGCCGGCTCAGGGAACCACATGGGGTTCCAGGATCAAACCCATGTTGGCTGAGTTCAGAGCAAGCGCCCTCCCCGCTGTGCTGTCTCTAGCCCCGATCTGGCAAGCGGGTGACGCTGTGTTGGGGCTGCCCCTCGGTTCTCAGGCCGGAGTGAGCAAGGTCCCCGGCTGTGCTGGGCTCTCGGGCTGGCTCAGGTCTGTGCGCGAGGTGACGTGTGTGGTCACCTCCCTCAGTGCCGGCACCAGGGCTGGGTATGGGTCACAGAGGTGGCTCCCAGGGGTCTTGGCCCGCAGCTGAGTGGCAGGAGCCTTCTGCTGACCTTTGGTTTCTTCTGCCCGTGCGTCCGGCAGCCGTCGGACTTCAGGGACCTGCCGGAATGGGAGCCAAGGATCCGAGAGGCCTTTCGTGCCGGGGACCTGGACTCGAAGCCCGATCCCGGCCGGAGCTTCAGGCCTTACCGAGCAGAAGACAATGACTCCTACGCTTCTGAGGTGGGCCCCAGCCTGAGTACGCCAGGGGGAGAGAGACAGGGGCCTCCCCCACCGCAGCAGAGGGTGCCCTGGAGGGTCTTCACTGGCGATGATGAGGGTTTTGAATATCCCATTTGGCTCTGAGCTTCCTGGTAGTCAGGGTGAAGAGGGCAAGGAGTTTGGGTCATTCTCATGGCCCAGTAAATGGAAGCTTATAAACTCATCTGAATCGAGTAATTTTTTTTCCTCCAATAGTACATGCCATTGGGAATTTAATTTCGTGGTATTTAAGGAGCTACTTTCTGTTCCAGGAACGCAGCGGGCGCTGTAGTTAGGCAGACTGGGTTCAGGTGGTGGTGGGTCCGCTGTTTGCTGACTGGGAGATTTTTTTGGTTTGGTTTGGTTTTCGTTTGAGGGCCACAGCTGGCAGTGCTCAGGAGTTACTCCTGCCTCCTCACTCTGGGCTAGGCTCAGGGGACCATACGGGATGCCAGGGATCGAACCTGGGTCAGCCACATGGAAGGCAGGTACCCTACCTGCTGTACTATTGGTCCAGCCCTGACTGACATCTTGAGCTAAATTCTGTCCTCTCACTTTTCAAACAAGGAAGATGCCGCCCCTCTGGTTGTTGAAAGAATCAACATGGAATCAACAAACCTTAGGTCAAGGCGTGTTGCATGTTGAGTGAAGGAGAGTCGTCCCGAGGGCACATCCCTGGGTCTCGGGACCTCACAGTGGCTGCATTTCCGCTTCTGTCAGAACTTCAGAGGTTCTCTGGTCCGTGAAGAATCCTGAGGGGTTCTGAGCTTCTCTAGGAATTTTCCCCCACTTTGGTAACGAACCAGAAGCAGAAAAAAAGGCTCTACAGCCTGTGTGGGGCTTGCAGAGCCTCTGGAATCACGGGGAGCCTGGGATGTGCCCCAGCCTGAACCCGCTTTCCTGAGCAAGTCAGGCTCCTAGAGTGATCTGAGCCTCCGGCAGCCATGGCAGGAGGGAGTGAGGGGGTCGTGAGTGCTGCATTCATTTCCCCGAGGAGCAGAGTTCCCTGAATGCACTCCGTTTTCCTCCTTTGCACCTACTCTTTCCTGCATGGTCAGAGTTTGCTGGACACTGTGTCAAGGAGAACTCCAGAGTGAGGCCATAGTATAGAGGTCTGTGAGGATTTGGGGTACAACACAGATATTCAAGTCGCCCTGTCAGAGCGCCCTTTATTGCCAGGTTTCCAGACCGGCCAGGTTTGGTTTTGGTTTTGGCTTTCCCCAATAAAGGCATTTTCTTGTTATACCTGAGAAGATTTGTTGCAGGCACTGAGCTGCCATTTTCAGCCCTTCCTGCCCACTGCTTGGCACGACAGCATAAGTATTCTTTCTACTAGAAGATACTACTTAGAAAATGGAGCGAAAAACACTTTTAAAATGGGTGGAGGGGCTGGGGCTGGAGTGATAGTACAGCGGGTAGGGCGTTTGCCTTGCATGTGGCCGACCCGGGTTCGATTCCCAGCATCTCATATGGTCCCCTGAGCACCGCCAGGAGTAATTCCTGAGTGCATGAGCCAGGAGTAACCCCTGTGCATTGCCAGGTATGACCCAAAAAGCAAAAATAAATAAATAAATTTTTTAAAAAATGGGTGGAGGGGCTTGATGGGCCCATATTGCTCAGGACATACTCCTAGCTGGGACCTGGTATTGGTCTGCTTCTGATTACATCCCAGTGGTCAGTTTAATTTGAGCCACTTTCAATATGTGTTTTTCTGAATGAATGTTACACTTCAGTTAAAATGATGTTTATGGGGATTGTAGAGCTAGTGCAGCCGCTAGGGAGCTTGCCTTGCATACTGCCGACTCAGGTGTGATCCCCGGCACCACACGTGGTACCCTGAGCCCTACCCCCCCCACTCACTCTTATTTATTTATTTATTTATATAAGCCGGAGAGATAGTACAGGGGTTAAGGCACCTACCTTTCATGAAGCCGACCCTAGTTCAATCCCTGGCACTATATGAGGTCCCCTGAGTACCACCAGGCAGGACTCACTCATAAATGCAGAGCCAGAAGTAAGACCTTAGCACCACTGGGTGTGTCCCTACACTCCAAAATAAATTAATTTTCAAAAAGCAGGTGCTTGCCTTAACTCCTGAACCATCTCTTCACCCAGCTGAATGGTTTTTGTACATAAGGATAGGCCCACTAAACATTATATAAATCTATTTTTAAAGTCATTTTTTACTTTTTGAAGCTATAAACAATGAGCTGACACATATCTTAGTAGACCATACTTATGTTCACAGTATATTATTTTCAAGTAAATGTCAAAGAGAAATTATCAGGTCAAAATGATGACAGACCCGGAGTGATGAGACAGCGGGTGGTGTACTTGCCTTGCGCACTGCTCACCTGGGCTTGATCCCCAACACCCCAAATGGTCCCCTGAGCCCCACCAGGAGTGATCCCTGAGCACAGAGCCAAGATGACAATAGGTAGACTTGGTTGACACTTTCCTGCCACCGTCCCAACCATGGGTGGAGGTCGGGCAGCTGTTGACCCTGATTAGAAGTTGAAGGACCGCGGGGACCCTTTCTTCCCTTCCATGATGCCCCCCTGCCATCGTCGTCTCATGACCAGTGTCACGGTGCCGCCTGCTCTGTCCTCATGATCGTGCTCCTCATTCCCACCCAGATCAAGGAGCTGCAGCTGGTGCTGGCTGAGGCCCACGACAGCCTCCGCGGCCTGCAGGAGCAGCTCTCCCAGGAGCGGCAGCTTCGGAAGGAGGAAGCCGACAGCTTCAATCAGAAAATGGTCCAGGTGGGTATTCCCTGCCTGCCCCCTCCCAGCTCCCTGGCAGAAAGGAAGGGGACACAGATGCCCACGTCCCATTTTTTTTTCCCCCAATGGAATCACTGAGATAAGACCATTACAAACACTTTTAAGATTTCAGTCTTACAATGTTCCAACATCCTTCCCTCCATCCGTGTACATTTCCCACCACCACGGTCCCCAATATCTCTCCCACCACCCTCCTCCTCCAGCCTGCCTCTTTGGCAGGCACTTCTCTCTCTGACTGTCTGTCTCTCTGTCTCCCTCCCCGCCTACCCCATTTTGGGCATTATGGTTTGCAATACAGATATTCCTGGCTCATACTATGCTTTTTTCATTTCCCACAAATGAGTGCAGTCACTCTCTGTCCTTCTTCTTCTGACTCATTTCACGCAGCATGATACTCTCTATGTCCATCCAATAATAAGCGAATTTAATGACTTCTTTTTTTTTTTTGCTTTTTGGGCTAGAGCGATAGCACAGCGGTAGGGCGTTTGCCTTGCACGCAGCCAACATGGCCAACCCGAGTTCAATTCCTCCGCCCCTCTCGGAGAGCCCGGCAAGCTACCGAGAGTATCTCGCCCGCACGGCAGAGATAACATCTCCAATGGAGACGTTACTAGGCCCACTCGAGCAAATTGATGAACAACAGGAGGACAATGACAGTACGTTTTGGGTCACACCCGGTGGTGCACAGGGGTTACTCCTGGTTCATGCACTCAGGAATTACTCCTGGAGGACCATATGGGATGCTGGGGATCGAACCTGGGTGAGCTACGTGCAAGGCAAACGCCCTACTCGCTGTGCTATTGCTCCAGCCCCGACTTCATTTTTTTCTAACAGCTGCAGAGTATTCCATTCTGTAGCCGTACTGTCATTTCTTTAACGAGTCGTCTGCTCTTGGGCACTTGGGTTGTTTCTAGATTCTGGCTATTGTGAACAGTGCTGCCACGAACATGCAAGTGCAGATGTCGTTTTTGCTGTGTGTCTATGTCGTACTTGTCATCATGTGATGCCGGGCCAGGCTGGTCACTGGCTGCCTGTGTGACCCCAGTCGTATCTTGTCCCCTTGCTGGGCGCACTTTCCCTCGTCAGAGCTGGAACCCTCTCGCAGAAAGGCTGTAGACCTGGCTGGTTGTCCAGAGCGTCATCCCAAGAATGGAAGGCACTTATGAAGCCCTTCCTGCATGGCAGGCCTGCTCCGTGCATTACTACTCACAGTGACCTTCAGTTCTCTTTCCTGCTCCTGGGACCACGCCCAGGGCCTCGCACATATAAGCAGATACTCTGTGTCTGATACGCTGACACCTGGCTGGGATTTGGGGGAGGGAGGTGCACACCAAGCAGTGCTCAGAGCTCACTCCTGGCTCTGCATACAGGGATCACTCCTGGTGGTGCCCAGGCGATCATATAGGGTGCTGGGATCCAACCCAGGCGTGCAGGACTAGTGCCCTCCCGCTGTAGTATGGCTCCGGCCCCAGGAGCTGCTGGGGTTTTAATGCAGATCTGACTCTGCTTCCTCCCTTGTCTCACCCTCGCCGCCCCCCTTTTCCCGGCCCTTTGCTCTCCACTGGGGTTTTCCCACCATGATTCATCCCCCGGAGTTCCTCATTAAATGAGAGTTTAGGGGAAGTACTGGCACCCAGCATGTGCTTAGTCTCTCCTGCAAGTCTCCTTTGGTTTGGGTTTTTGTATTTCTGGAGAGGGGGAAGCAATCCTCCCACTTCAAGTGGTGCTTGGAAGGGCCCTGGGCCCTTCCCAGTGATTCAGTGATTCTCGGACCAGCTGTTCTGATGGGAGGGACTGGGGGTGTGGCGCTGCTCATCCGGGGACTAACCAGGCCACCCCACTGGGCTCGGAGCCTCCAGGGCTGCACCCTGGATTGAGTCAGGGTCGACTGCACACACGGCCTGCACCTGAAACTTGTCTCTGTCCCTCTCCCGCCCCTCTGTCCGGGTTCTCGTCAGATAGGTCAGGGGCCAGACCCTAGCTCTGGCACCGATTTGTAGTTATGATTTCCTGTTCTTTCTCTGAGGGTTTTCTTTTTCCTGAGGGAGGGCTCAGCTCAGTGTTAGTTTCTTTATTCATTGGTTCTCAGGCTACACCTGGGCTTACTCCTGCCTCTGTGCTCAGGGACCGGACCAGTCCTGGCCTGGATTGGGCGATCATACGCGGTGCCAGGGAACCACACCTGGGTGGGCTGAGTGGAAGGCAGATGAATGCCTTTCGTGCTCGCTGCTAGTGATGGAATCCCTCACAGGGATTCGCCAGCAGGCATTTCCGGAATGTTCCGTCTACCGGGGTCTCGGGCCGGACCTTGGGTGGTTTGTCTAAGCCAATGCTTGTCTTCCTCGCAGCTGAAGGAGGACCAGCAGAGGGCGCTCCTGAGGCGAGAGTTTGAGCTGCAGAGTCTGAGCCTCCAGCGGCGGCTGGAGCAGAAATTCTGGAGCCAGGAGAAGAACATGCTGGTGCAGGAGTCCCAACAGTTCAAGCACAACTTCCTGCTGCTCTTCATGAAGCTCAGGTGGTTCCTCAAGCGCTGGCGGCAGGGCAAGATTTTGCCCAGTGAGAGGGACGACTTCCTGGAGGTACGGGCCTGGGCCTGGGCGGGGGCTACAGGGGGAGAAAGAATGAGAGGGGGGCTGGAGCGATAGCATAGTGGGTAGGGCGTTTGCCTTGTATCCGGCTCGACCCGGGTTCAATTCCCAGCATCCCATATTGTTCCCTGAGCACGGCCAGGAGTAATTCCTTAGTGCACGAACCAGGAATAACCCCTGTGCATCTCTGGGTGTGACCCAAAAAGCAAAAAAATAAATAAATAAATAATGAGAGGGGGACCCAGCTGGTGCAGCTCGGGCCCTCTCCCCCCCAAGCTCATAGCCAGCCCAGCTGTCGGCTTCCCGTGTTGCTCATCACTCGGGTTGGAGGGGTTCTGGAGCAATAGCACAGCGGGGAGGGCATTTGCTTTGCAAGCGACTGACCACGTTCTATCCCCAGTGTCCCATACGGTCCCTTGAGCACCGCCAGGAGTAATTCCTAAGTGCAGACCCAGGAGTAACCCCTGAGCATCACTAGGCGTGATCCAAAAATTAAAAAAAAAAAAAAGAAAAGAAAGACAAAAAACTGATCTGGTTTTTTAGGGGGCTGATGTAGGGAGTTGGACTACACCTTATGCGCAGGGACTATTCCTGAAAGCACAGGTCCCCTGTGGTGCATGGGGGACCGTATGTGGCACTGGGGATTAAACCAGGCCTGCCTGCCTGCAAGGCCTCCCCCCCATCCCTCCTTCCCGGTCACCCAGGAGAAGCCCCCCTGCATTCCCTGTGCCTCTCCCCCTCCCCGCTGTTTGCCTGCTGACCCTTCAAGGGTGGGTTCCTCTGCAGGGCCTTAGCATTTGCTCTGCCTTTTCTTGCTAGTTTTGACCCGCATGGTCACAGGACCTAGTTCTCACCCCCTTTGCACCCCCTTTGGGACTTTGCCCCAAGCCCACCTTCTCTAGAGACCTACCTCGGCCCCTCCCAGCTCCTTACCTGTGCGCCCTGCCTCTCTGGATCCCTGTGGGATGTGCCAGATGGGGACAGACCCGCTAGGCATTTTCCTGCATTGCCACGATATTTTCCAGGACTTTCCTGGCGGAGAGGCACTGGTGTTCCCACCTGGGGTGCCCCGAGGGCAGTGAGTGTGGGACAGCTGGGGCCGGTCCTCAGGGGCAATGCCCAGTGAATGACCGACCCACTCTCACTGCTGGCCCTGGACTTCCGCCCCCAATCTGTCAGCAGCTGCCCGGGGCCCTTCTCTCCGCCCTCGCCATTAATTGCGCTTACCTGCAATTACAGGGAAGCCTGTGGCCCTTTAATTCCAGCCCTGGTACCTGCACACACAACCCCCCCACCCCACCCCGCCGCCGCTCCCCCCACCCCCACCCCCGTGGTTCTTTCTGAGTTGCTCTTGGGGATGTGTCACCGTCCCTGGGGCATGAGAGATGGGGAGGAGGCTGGAAGGGCTCCAGGTGAGGACCACCTCCTGTGCCTTCGGTCCCTATCCTCTTCTTCCTCCTGCAGTCCGAACAGTCCTCTGTGCGTCTGTCTGGGTCACAGCTCAGGACCGTCATCCCCTGGAGGCACAGAGCCCCCGGCTTGACACCCTCGCATCCCTGCTGAGTGCGTGTGTCTCTTCCAGGTGAGCAGCATGAAGGAGCTGTACCTGCTCATGGAGGAAGAGGAGCTGAATGCCCAGCACCCTGATAACAAGACCTGCACAGGGGACAGCTGGACCCAGAACACGGTGCGTGCTTGGCCCGTCCCCTGCCCTCCAGACCATGTATTCCTGTTGGTGACACCCTGCGGATTCTACCTCCCTGCTGCTCCCTGTGTGGGGCTCCCATGTCATTCTGGACAGGGGTCCAAGGCCAGGTTATGAAAGGGGGTTGCTTCCCAGGCAAAAGCCATGAATCATTTGGTGTGTAGGGAACAGTACCCCAGAGCAAGGGGCACAGGCTATGGGTTTCGGAGGGCGAATAGGAGTTTGCCTCATAGAGTATAGGAATGGACCTTTGGGGACTAACAGAACTGAGCGCAGAGATGTGGCAAGATACTTTGAAACTGACTGTGGCTGGGGGTGGGCATGGCCAGGATACAGGGCTAGACTGGCTTGAGGTCTGGAGTCAGAAATGGGTCATGGGACTGGAGTAATAGTCCAGCGGGGAGGGACAATGGCCCTGCACGTGGCTGACCTGGGTTCAATCCCAGAATCCTATAGGGTCCCCTGAGCACCCCAGGGGTAATTTCTGAGTGCAGAGCCAAGAGTAACCCCTGAGCATCGCCGGATGTGACCCAAAAGGCAAAACCAAAAAAGGGGGGGGGAGTGGGTCAGGTCCTCCAGAGCCATCCAGTGAGCTGTGTCCTGGCCTCGGAGGGAGGACTGGCCGTATCGGGACAGGAAGGAGCCAGGTTGAGCTCAGGGTGTGCTGAGTCACTGGTGCGGTGGCTGCAGGGTTTGCTGTGGGGGGGCCCTGGAGGTCGTGCTCCCAGCCCAGTCCCCGTGCGCCACCCTGCCGGAAGCTCCTGACTGACCCTCACGTCGGCCCCTGCAGCCCAACGAGTACATCAAGACGCTGGCCGACATGAAGGTGACGCTGAAGGAGCTGTGCCGGTTGCTTCGGGACGAGCGCCAGGGCCTGACCGAGCTGCAGCAGCAGTTTGCCAAGGCCAAGGCCACCTGGGAGACGGAGCGGGCAGAGCTCAGGAGCCACACGGCCCAGGTGCGTCCCTGACCCGCCCTTTCCCCTCTCAGCCAAGCCCTTGGCTGACGGATCCTAGAGTACAAAGCCCGAGCCATGTTCCTAGCAGCATCCGGAACCCTGTCAGTGTCCCTTTACAGCCCAGAGAAGGCAAGACACTTCTCTAGAGTCACACAGCAAGGGAAGCAGAGACTAGGATGCAGTGATTCTTTTATTTTTGGAGGGGGGATATTGTTTGGGACCCATCTTCGGCAGGGCTTAGAGCTCACTCCTGGCTCTTTGCTTAGGGTTCAGGGGTGCCAGGAACGAACCTGGGTTGGCCAGTGCTAGGCAACTGCCCTTCCCGCTGTGCCATCTTTCCAGACCCTTCTTTTTGGTGGGGCACACCCTGCAGTCCCCCACTCTGTTCTGGGGACCGTACCCGGTGCCGGGGCCACACCCAGGCCGGAACCTGTAACCTGTGCTCCGGCATCTGCATTGAGTCCTGGGGCTGCGCAGTCCCCCGTCCCCCCCCTCCCCCGCCACCTGATTCCCGAGTTCAGTCCTCCTGTGACTTGCAGGTGTGTGTCCCTGGGCAGGCCTCTGGGGACAAGGCCGGCTTCTGGCAGGTTCAGCCGGGAGGTGAGAGGCGTCCCTTACTAATGTTCTGCTAAGCGCTGGCGAGCGTCCTGGGCAGCAGCACTGGCCACTGAGTCACTCTGAAATATCACAATAATAGTCTGAGGCGTGGGGAGACGGCGCGAGGGCTGAGAGCGCACTGCGCATGCTGGATGCCCGGGTTCCCTCCCGCACTGCTCAGCCCCTCCAACCGCTGCAAGAGCGACCCCTTAGCACCAAGTTGGGACTAGCCCCAGAGAGTCACCAGGTGTGGCCCAACAAACAAATGAGAAGTAGTTGGGGGGGAGGGGCGTAGCACAGCAGGGCATAGCACAGTGTTTGCCTGTACTCGGCCAACTGGGTTTGATCCCGGGTACCCCATATGGTCAGCACCACCAGGAGTGATCCCAGAGCACTGAGCCAGGATAAGTTCTCTGCACTGCCAGGTGTGGCCCCACAATACAAAAGTAGTTGTGTTTTCATGAAGGTGCTGAGGTGAAAAGCCTGCAGAGCCCTTGGCAGAGAACTTGTAAAAAGAATATAACCTCATTTAAGTTTTTAGTCCATTTTGGATTAAAAATCCAGAACGATTTTTGTATGCTGTGTGAGATAAGGGTCTCTTTCCCTTTGTTGTATGTATTAGCCCAGTTTTCCCAGCTAATTAAGGAGACTCTTTGTTTCCTAACGGGTGTTTTGGTGCCTCTGTCAAACATTAGTTGACTCCAGTTAGCGGGTTTGTTTCTGATGGCTCTATTCTGTTACTGACCTGTGTGTCTGGTTTTCAGCCAATGCCACTCTGTTTTTACTACTATGGCTTTAAAAAATTGTTTAAAAGAAATAAAAGAATATGGCCTGCCTGGATTTTGGGGGCTGAGTTCTGAGCAGGGAGTGAGCCAAGCTTCCTGAGTGATGGGTGTGTCCCCCAGCCCCTGGGCCATGTGCGAGGGGGAGGGGGAAGGAAGGTGGGCAGAGAGAGGAGAGCTGCGGTGGGGAGGGCAGGAGAGGCCCCCAGAAGAGCTGTCCAGCTGGTTCTCCCCTCTGCAGGCGGAACTGAAGGCCGGGAAGGGGCCTGGGGAGCGGGCAGGGCCCGACTGGAAGGCCGCCCTGCAGCGGGAGCGGGAGGAGCAGCAGCACCTCCTGGCCGAGTCCTACAGTGCCGTCATGGAGCTCACGCGGCAGCTGCAGATCAGCGAGCACAACTGGAGCCAGGAGAAGCTGCAGCTGGTGGAGCGGCTGCAGGGTGAGAAGCAGCAGGTGGAGCAGCAGGTGAAGGAGCTGCAGAACCGCCTGAGCCAGGTGAGGCCCCCGGCAACCCTCCCTGCGAGAGCTGGAAGGGCCCAGCTGGATCCAGGTGCCACAAGTCCAGTGACAGGAGGGCCTTCAGGTTCAGCTGGATCCAGGTGCCACAAGTGCAGTGGCAGGAGGGCCTTCGGGTCTAGCTGGATCCAGATGCTCAGAGAGGCACAGTCCAGACCAGGCCTTTCTTTCCGCCCATCACTCATTTGTCTTCAGGTGTTGCGAGTTGGTTTGGTGCTTCTGTCCGAACAGCGTGGCAGCTGCCACGGAAAGAGTTTTCCTTTCCCACCACCTCTGGCCCGATGGCTTGTCTACCCAGGAAATCCTAAGGAAAAACCAAGGGTGGGTCCCCTTTAAAGCTTGAAGTTTTGGGGCCAGAGCAATAGTACAGCAGGGAAGGCATTTGCCTTACACATGATTGACCCGGGTTCAATCCCCAGCATCCCATGTGGTCCCCCCATGCACTGCCAGGAGTAATTCCTGAGCACAGATCCAGGAGTAACTTCTGAGCGTCACCAGGTGTGTAGAAAAAAAAAAATCCCAAAGCCCCCTTCCTAAAAATTATTTTGAATTAAATCCAGACTTAGAGATCTCTGACTAAAAATGGATGTGAGTAGACAAGAACCATGGGCCATGTCAGCCCCTTAGCCAGACCCCCAGACCCCATACCTCGCTGCTGCTCCTGTTCATTTACGTACTGGGGGAAGGAAGGGGCCTCCCCAGCTGTTCTCCTGGCCCGGGGCCACTGCCAGTGACACTTGGCTCTGTAGAATCGGGCCTGATGGTCAAGTGTTCAGGTCAACCAGGCCGTTTTCTAGGGCCACCAGGGCTACATCTGACGGTGACTGGGGCCAGGGGTCATGTGGGTCCTGGGGATCAAACTCAAGGCCTTGAGTATGCCACATATGCGCTCCACCCTTCTGAGCTAACTCTCAATTTCTTTTTATTTTAATTACAGAAATAAAGACTTCATTGTTAAGTAAGACCCAGATATTGCAAAGCACACTCCAGCCCACTCGCTCCTTTCTTGCTGCCGAAATGTATATTGACAGAGTCTTATTTGTTAACGTTAGCAGAATCACAATGTACATATTGTTTATACTTAGCTTTGTACTTTGCATCTCCCGAAAGTTGTTCATCATGGGATATAAATGGTCCTTTGTTTTCCGAATATGGAGACAATAGTTATTTCATATTTAAGAAATCTTTTTTTTATAATCTGCACTTTCATCCTGAGCATGAATACCTTAAATTTTTTTGAAAAACTATGTCTGGGCCAGAGTGATAATAACAGTGAACAGAGACATTTCCCTTGCATGCAGCAAACCTGGTTCGATGCTTGGCATCCCATATGGTCCCCTGAGTTTGCCAGGAGTAGTCCCTGAGTGCAGAGCCAGGAGTCGCTCCTGAGCATCACTGGGTGTCCCCCTCGTACAAGGAAGAGAAGAGCTGTGTCGCTGTGTATTCCCTCTGGTTCCGGAGACCTTGTTTATAGCCAGCAAAAATGGCTATGGAAAAAAAATTAAAATTAAAAAAAAAAGAGGATGCTTGAGAGATAATAAAGCGGCAAGGGCACTTGGTTTGCAGCCTACCTAGGTTTGATCCCCAGCATTCCATATGGTCCCCCAAGTGCTGCCGGAATGAGCACAGAGCCAGGAGTTAACCCTGAGCATTGCTGGGTATTCCCCCCCCCCCCCCCGAAGAAAACAAAACAAAACACCAAAACAAGTGGTTTTGGACCACGTTCTTCTGGCCATTTCTGCCGTTTAGTTAGTCTAGGCCTCCATGTGAATCCTGGATGTCAGAAAAAGCCATGTTGAAAAAAAACTTAAGCCAAACAAGGAGATTCCCCTAACTAACATCTTTCCTCTCTTCTTTCTCCTTCCTTATTTATTTTGTTTGTTTGTGTTTGGGCCACACCCGGCGGCGCTCAGGGCTCACTCCTGGCAGGTCCAGGGGACCGTATGGGTCAGGTCGGCTGCGTGCCAGGCCAGCACTGTGCCCCCTGTGCTCTCTCTCTGGCCCCCTGACCAGTCTTCTTTTAGCTGCACTCATTCACGCAACTGTGGCCTCAGCCGGCTCAGCCCTCAGCACCACCCGGCACTGACAGTTCAAGCCGGGCCCATTTCTGCCAGCCGGCGGGGTGAATGCCACAGCCTGAGGACCCCCCCTAAGCTCACCTGGTTTAGGGCTTTTGTGCCAGATTAGGCGAACTTAACCTTCTCTTCTCTTCTGCCCACTATGGGCACTGCAGGATGATTCCTGGGGGCCGAATCCTACCCTGATCAGGGCTTGACTTTACTGCCAAGGTGCTTTTTTTGGGGGGGGGGGGGGGAGTTATGGGCATTGGGCCACACTCATCAATGCTCAGGGATTACTCCTGGCAGGAGTTGGGGGACCATAAGGGGTGCCGGGGATTGAACTTGGGTCAGCCACATACACAGCAAGTGCCCTGCCTGTTGTCCTGTCGCTTCGACCTCTTTGGCAGCGTTCCCTCCTCGCTTTCTAGAGTCGGGTACGGGGCTGTTACCAGCTGCCCTTCCCTGTGGGAGAAGGACATCTCCGAACAGCCCCCACCCACTCTCAGGCTCACCGTGAGGCCACTGGACTCCATCACACGCCCCCTAGAGGTGACGAGGGGGTAACAAGGGCTCTTGAAAACTGTCCTGGGGTGGGAGCTTCCGGCCGGCTGGATCTATTTGCGCCTCTGATGAGACTTTACTGCCCCTTCCCTCCTCTGGTGCTTTTGGGAATTGTAGCAGGAAGTAAGACAGGGGCCCCAGCGACATAGTACAAGTAGGTAACCTGCTTGCCTTACTGACCTGGGTTTGATCCCTGTTATAGGCTTTGCATGCAGGAGGCCCAGATACATTCCCTGGCACCACGTGGTCCCCTGAGCACTGTAGGAAGAAACCCTTCCCCAACTGGGGTTGCCCAGGGGCTCCCCTTCCTCCCCCAAAACAGAAATGATGGTGGTCACTGTCAGCGGTAGTAGCCACAGGAGAGTCCGAAGCACTTGCTTTTATTGTCTTGTTCCAAAGTCTCTTTCTTGGTGCCTTTGAGTTGCTGCCCGCAGGAGGGGGCTTCTGAGTCCATGGTGGGAGGCATCGGAATGCCTGAGTGGAACTCGGGCAGAGGCCCAGCTCCCAGGGAGCCCTGCTTGCCCGCTGGCTCACCACTGACCTCCTCTCTGCCCTTCCTAGCTGCAGAAGGCCGCTGACCCCTGGGCCCTGAAGCATGCCGATCTGGAGAAGCAAGACAACAGCTGGAAAGAGGTGAGGGCTGCGGCCTCCCGGGCTCTCACTTTCGGGAAGACCCTCCCTTGTGGTGACTCGTACCCCCAGCTTCTCAACCCAGGGCATCTTCCTGCTGCAGCCTGTCCCCCTGGGCCTGGGCAGAGCTGTATATCTCTGGTCTTGCTGGTCCTTCTTCCCTCTCATGCCTGGGTGAGAGGCGGTGTGGTCTTGGGTAGGTCACACTCCCTCTCGTGGCCACGTGGTGGGTGGAGACTCCCACTCCCTGCCTGCTTGTGGAGGTCACGCAGGTCTTGCTGTGGGTTTGCTCCCGCACCTCGGTGCATTGTCCACGGAGCCACACACCAAGGAATCAAACGCTGCCATATGCACAGACCCTCTGTCTCCCTCTGTCATCCTCATGACAGCCTGAGGCCCCAGAGGGCTGACGATTCAGGTTCTGGAAATGGGTTCTGGGGAGCTAGCTGCTCCAGGCCTGGGGTGAAACAGAGCAGGAACCCTCTGGTCACTTCTGTCACCCCCTCAGGACAGTGGCCAGGGGTGAGAGTCACTGCACACGGCAGCCTGTTTCTGGGAGCTCTGATGGGCCCAGTGTGAGACACCCGTGGGGGTGGGAGTGGGCCGGACCTGCCCCGACACTGACCTCCTGTAGCCCACTGGTGGCCAGACTGACCCTTTTGTCTCTCTTTGGCACAGGCGCACAATGAGAAGGTCCACGACAAGGAGGCTGCTGCCGAAGCTGAGCTGGGGGGAAGCGGCTTAAAGAGGTGCCAGCCTGCCCTGCGGCCCCGCCCCTGCAACCTCACCCCTTCTCAGCCCTGGGTCACCCACCCCTGCCCTCTCTGCCCGATCTTGCAGCCCCAACCTCAACCCTGCCATGTTTTCCCGCCACTCCCCTTCCTTGATTAACGCCCCCGCCCCACACGGTGCCCGCTCATTTATCCCACTCTCTCCCATGTTGCCACGCCCTCCCCGTGCTGCCTTGCCCCTATCTTCTTGTGTTGCCACGCCCCCTCCCGTCTTGCCACGCCCCCTCCATCTAGCCACGCCCCCTTCCGCCTTGCCACGCTCTCACCCCCCTCTCCAGCCCCCAGCCTGCATGTAGAAAGAACCGGAATGTAGGTTTTATGGGACCTCAGTGACTCAGGGGCTAGAAAGCTTGGGGTGCTGAGAATCCCAGCCTACTGGTTTATTTAATTCCGAGCATGGAAAATGGACACCCCCCCCCCCACCCACCCACCTATCCTACCTGAGGAAGAATCTATTCATGTCCTCTTGGGCTTCCTTCCTGTCTCTGGATTCTAAAGAGTGAAGCTGGACCCAGGAATATTAGTAGCATCCTAATAACCCAGGGAGAGGACCCCCCCACACACACCAGCAGGACAGCACTGCTGTTAGAGAGCTCGTGACAGAGTGAGGGCCACAGAGTCAAGGGGCCACCAGAAGTGAGGCAGGCCCGAGGCAGACCTGAACCAGGAGCAGAATGGGGGACCCTGGGGCAGAAGAGGGGCTGCACAGCGAGTGCTCAGCTTGACTTCCAGCTCAGCCCTGGGCTGTTTCTGCAGCTGTCATTTGTTTGTAGGGTCTTTTGTTTGTTTTGTGGGTTTCAGACCCAGGCCCCATATGTGCACGGCAGGTGCTTTATCTCTGAGAACTACATCCCAGACTCCCAGGGATAGTGTGAGGCTTGGGACGGTCTGACACGAGAGACACTGAGATGTGCCGGCACTTTGAGTCTTTGGCTAGACACGTACCAGGTCTGTGCTGGGTATTTAATGGCTCCTTAGTGTGGGTTCCCTGGAAGAAAACCGTGAGTGGAGGCTTGGGTGTGTATGGTTGGCTTGGGAGAGGACTCCAGGAAACACGTGGAAGCAAGACGGAGGGAGGAGGCTGCTTGTGATGGTTAGTGGCCATTGGAGCTGGTGTCAAGGAGGGTATCTGGGAGCAGGAGGGGACCTGGCAGCTCAGATTTGGCACCAGGGATCAGGGGACAGGGAACTAGCCTCCAGGTCTCACCTTCCATGGAAGCGTTCTAAGAGCTTAAACTCTAGATATTTCACTTCCTCTGTGTGAACACCAGTGGAGTCAGAGAAGTATGCTCAGGGGCCAGTGGTGGGTAGGTGGGACGGGCAGCCTGGGCCTGGGTGCTGTCCACGGGGCACGGGCTGGACACCCACCTGCCCTGGCTACATTCACGTCTTCCAACACCGCCCTTCTTCCCCTGCTCTTCCCAGGACCAAATCGGTGTCTTCCATGTCTGAGTTTGAAAGTTTGCTGGACTGTTCCCCCTATCTGGCTGGCGAGCCCTCACGGGGCAAGAAGCCGCCCAGCGGCCCTGCCTTCCCCTTTGTGGGCAGCCAGCCCGTGGACCCAGAGAAGGAGGCCGCCGAGCAGTGCGGGCGCCCATCCCAGGACTGCCACCAAGCGGGCTGCCAGGAGCCACCGGGCAGGCAGATGCAGCGCAGCTACACGGCGCCCGACAAGACGGGCATCCGCGTCTACTACAGCCCCCCGGTGGCCCGGCGCCTGGGCGTGCCCGTGGTCCACAACCGGGAGGGCAAGATCCTCATTGAGCCGGGCTTCCTCTTCACCACAGCCAAGCCCAAAGAGTCCGCCGAGGCTGACGGGCTGGCCGAGAGCTCCTACAGCCGGTGGCTCTGCAACTTTTCCCGGCAGCGCCTGGACGGGGGCTCCGGCAGCAGCCCGGCGGCCTCGGGCCCCGGCTTCCCCGCGGCCCTGCATGACTTCGAGATCTCGGGCAACATGAGCGACGACATGAAGGAGATCACCAACTGCGTGCGCCAGGCCATGCGCTCGGGCTCGCTGGAGAGGAAAGTCAAGAGCACGTCCAGCCAGACGGTGGGGCTGGCCAGCGTGGGCACGCAGACCATCCGCACGGTCAGCGTGGGCCTGCAAACTGACCCGCCCCGCAGTGGGCTGCACAGCAAGGGCTGGTCGCCACGCGGCAAGCAGCTCTCGTCCTCCCTGGACAAGGTCCACGCGCGCATCGAGCGGCCCTGCTGCTCCCCCAAGTATGGCTCGCCCAAGCTCCAGAGACGCTCAGTGTCCAAGTTGGACAGCGCCAAGGACCGCAGCCTGTGGAACCTGCACCAGGGCAAGCAGAACGGCTCGGCCTGGGCACGCTCCACCACCACCCGGGACAGCCCCGTGCTGCGGAACATCAACGATGGCCTCTCCAGCCTCTTCAGCGTGGTTGAGCACTCGGGGAGCACGGAGTCGGTCTGGAAACTGGGCATGTCCGAGGCGCGGGCCAAGCCCGAGCCCCCGAAGTACGGCCTCGTGCAAGAGTTCTTCCGCAACGTGTGCGGACGCGCCCCGAGCCCCACCTCGGCCGCCGGGGAGGAGGGTGCCAAGAAGCCAGAGCCCCTATCTCCTGCCAGCTACCACCAGCCCGAGAGCGTGGCCAGGATCCTGAACAAGAAGGCGGCCAAGTGCGGCAGCAGTGAGGAGGCCCGACTGGCCGGGCTGCAACAGGTGGGAAAGGATGGCGTCCCCCGGGATGCAGATGGCTCCACTGTTCTTCCCAGTGAGGTAGGTGGCGGGGGGCTGCGGGCAGGGGTTACCGTTTTCCTCGGGAGACGTGGCTGACTTCTGTGGTCCAAGCTCCTTTCATTTCTTTGAGGAGTGTGTGTGGGGGGGATGGGGGGCGGGGGAGCGTGGGGCAGGGGCTGGGCCACAGCAGATTGTGCTTAGGGATGACATATGGGGGGACCATATGGGGTGATGGGATCACACTGGGGTCGGCAGGGTTCAAGGCAAAGCTTTAACCCTTGTATTATATCTCACTGGCCCAGGCCCAGGTGCTTTGGTTTTCACACTCAGGAGTTACGGTGCATGTTTACCTGGGATGGGGGCTGGTATCTCCAGACCTGGGGGTACTGATTCAAGGGCAAGTGGTATGTTTTTGGTTTGGTTTGGTTTGATTTGGTTTATCCTCTTTTAATTCTGGGATCACATCCAATGATGCTCAGAGCTTACTCCTGGCTCAGCGCTCAGGGATTGCTCCTGGTGGTGCTCAAGGGGACCATCGGGGGTGCCAAGAATGGAACCAGGGTTGGCCGTGCGCAAGGCAAGTGCCTTAACCCCTAGACTATCTCTCTGGCCCTAAGGGCGTGTGATCTGAAAGCCAGGGCACCCCGAGCCTGGTTTCCCAGACGGTAGGAGTCCTCAGCTCACAGGCTTGTGACATCCTGTCTCCTGCCCGTGGCTCTCCTGCCGCCCCATGGTGTGCCACAGCTGCTGTGCCCAGATCCCCTTACACTCCTCTCTCTAGAGCCACTTCACCTTGGCAGCTGGAGAGCAGCTGCAGTTCAGCTGCAGTTGGGAGAGAGGGGAGTTCATTTTCTTTTTTAATTAGGACCACATCCAGCAGTGCTGATGGCTCGGGAGCTCAGATCTGGGCCACCCCCAATATGTCAAACTCTGGGCCTCACACGTGCTAGATAGGTACTCTGCCCCTTGGACTCTCCGTGGCCCCCCAGGAGGGGAGTTAAGCCATTAACATTGGCAGGTGCCTTGAATCAGGGCCTTCCCCTCACTCCCCACCGCCTTCCCCAGCAGCCCCCTGCTGTGCCAAGACTCCTTCCCTCAGAGAACTGTCTCGCTGCACCCCAGAGAGTTAAGTGCCCCCACCGCCGCTGTCTCAGCTGTAGTAGGGAATTTCTGCACATCAGTAAAATAACGCACTTGAGTTACCTTGTAGGGCTGGAGCGGCAGCTCGGCTGGGCCAGAGCACCTGCTCTGTGTGCAGTATGTGCGGATTTGCAGATCCCTGGCACCACGTGGTTCTCTCTCTTGAGTAACTCTCCAAGCAACCTTTGAGCACTGAACTGGGAGTAGCCCCTGAGTACCACTGCCTATGACCCAAAAACCAAACCTTCCCCCACCCCCCAAAAAAGGTTGACATTGTAGAAGTATAAGGCAGTGTCCCTGAGGACGCAGAGTGTCTTATGGAACCCAGGGCAAGGACCCAAGGGCCCAGCAGCTTCTCTCGGTCTCCTCCCTAAGCCTCGTCATCTGCTCTGATGTGCTCTTTCTCTCTCTCTCTCTCTCTCTCTCTCTCTCTCTCTCTCTCTCGCATCTGGTCTATGTAATTGGTTCCCACTTTGCTTGTATAATATCTTTCATTCAGGCATCTAAAAGGCATTGCCTCTGGCCCTGCCGCAGCCCCCAGTGTCTGGAGGAAGGGAACTCTAGTAGGCCCAGCTCCAGCCCACTGTGTCCCTATGGTCCAGTCAGCCCTGCTCCCGGGTGGCAATAAATGATCTTGGGGGGCTCTCAGGGAGTGCTGGAGGGGGAGGCTCAGAGCCGTGGGGCAGGCTAGGACAAACCCAACAGTAAGTATCGCAGTCTGGTGATTTGGGGTGTTTCCCTAGTATAAATAATGCTTCAGAGGACATCTTGGTATGTTTTCTGCATATTAGTTGATTTTAATAGGTATGGGTACAGAAATGGATATAAGAACATAAAATTTTAGGGATCAGAGTGATAATATAGTAGGTAGGGTGTTTGCCTTGCATGTGGTTTGATCCCTGACTCTCATATGTTCCCCTGAGCCCTGCCAGGAGTATATCCCTGAATGCAGAGCCAGAATGCATATCCCTGAGCACTGCTGGGGGTCACCCCGTGTCCCCCTCCCAAAAAAAGAGTATAAAATTATAGGGCCCGAGAGATAGTATGAGGTGAATGTGCTTGCCGTGTTCATGGGTCGGTCTTGGTTCAAATTCCAACACTCCACATGATCCCCTGAGCCCTGCCAGAAGTGATGGCTGAGCTCAAAGCAAGAGTAAACCCCGAGCACTGCCAGGTGCGGCCCAAAAACCCAAAGGAAAACGAAAAGAAAGAACAATTGGTCCAGAGAGGATCTCTAGGGCTGGAGAGATAATACAGTGGGTAGGATGTTTGCCTTGCACACGGCTGACCAGGTTCAATTCCCAGCACCCCATTTGGTTCCCTAGCACTGCCAGGAGTGATCCCTGAGCACAGAGCCAGGAGTAAGCCCTGGGCACCGCCAGGTGTGGCCCAGAAGCCAAAATCAAAAATAACAACAATTAAAAAAGCTTCCAGAGACTGTTCTCTGGGTACAGCATTCCCCAACGTGGCTACCTGGCTTGCTGCCCGGGCCCAGGCGTCTGCCCACTGTGCTCCTGACACCCTCCCTCCTCTCGCCCCCCTCCTCCCTCCTCCAGGACGCTGTCTGTGACTGCAGTGCCCAGTCTCTGGCCTCCTGCTTCGCGCGGCCCTCCCGTTCCGCCATCGTCCGCCACTCCCCTTCCAAGTGCCGGCTCCACGCTTCAGAGTCAGGCTGGTGTGGGGAGGAGAGGGCTGCCCCCCCTAGCGACTGATGGGGGCCGGGAGGCACCCTGCCCTCAACCAGCCCTGGCCCAGAGAGCTGAAGGGAACCAGCAGAGAGGAGAGGAGGCCAGGGGCCCGGCCCTCTGCGTCGCTGCGCTCCAGAGGGACAGCAGCTGACCCCCTGCCAGGCTGCAGCCCCCACCCCCACCCCCCTCCAGGGAACGCGGGGACTCCTGCTGACCTCGGGGAGGTGAGCTCTGACTTCTGGGGGAACCAGCCGGCCGGCGGGAGAAAAGCAGAACTGCACATCGGAGCACCACGGAGAGAGCGCGGAGAACCCAGCCGCTGGGGCTGCTCCCGGGGTGCTCGGGGAGCACCTGACCTGGGCCCCCCACACCCCCGCACCCACATTTCGGAAGAGTCGAAGAAAGGATACACCCAGAGAAATTCCTGCCAACCATATGCCCCTTCATGGGGGAAAGACACCCATGGAAACAGGTTTGCTTCCGGACTCTGCTTGGGGGACCTGGTAGGCACCCCTCACCCCGGCCCCCCCAACACCGCCTCTCCCAGCCTCGCTGCTCCGGGTGGCTGTGCTTTGGGAGGCATGACAGGGCTGTAGCTGGGGCCTAGTGTCCACTTGGAGCCCTGGATCTCCCTGCCTGTGGCCCAGATGCAGCCGAGACCGGACATCTGGAGCTCAGGGTGGAGGACCTGGGGTGCTGCCCCCCACACCTCGTGACTTGGGGTCCCAACCTTTCCAGGAGCCCCAGGAGCAGAACGAGGCAGTCGGCCCCCAGACTTGGGCACAGTAGCTGCTTCTCCCTGCCCCGGCAGGCACCACCTCCCCATCCAGTTTACTTCCTGCAGCGGGTGGAAGGCAAAGACACCCCCTCACTAAAAAGCCTTGACTTGGGCCATGCTGGGCCAAGGAGTGGCCCAAGAGGCCAGGGCCCAGGACACGGCACGAGACAGGGGCCTGGAAACATATTTCTTGCCTAGGTTATTTTCATTTGAAGTTTTTTAATATAAATATTAAGGTGGGTTTACTTTATTTTAATAATTTAATTTACCCCAAAATTCCCTCAAGTAATTTATTGGCAGTTGGGACATGTTTCTTGCCGCTGGGAGAATGCAAGACTCCTGATGTCATGGACAGTCACGGGACCCCAGTGAGAACACAGCGGCTCACCGCCGGCCGCCAGGCTCTGCTCTGGTCAGGTTTGGGGAAGGCCGCCCAACAGCACCGGGGCCTGCCCACAGCTTGCTCAGCGTGACTGGCCAGGGTCCGGGCCTCAGCACTGCCTTTCACTCAACACCTGGTGCTCACCCGGCCCCCAGCGGGCAGTGGACAGCACTGACGTCACTCCTTCTGGAACATTCTTCATGTCCCTTCTCCTTCTCTCCCTCTCTATGTCGCCTTTCTTCTTCTTCTTCTTTTTTTTTTTTTACAAAAAATGAGTCCCACGCAGAGTGCTGAGGCTCTCTCATGGGCCTGGAGCACCTTCCTGGCTCCCCAAGCAAGGCTGCCCGACGGTCCGGAGAAACATGCTGATTGCACTTTGCACACGGAGTGTCTGCAGCCCTACCTCCTCCCCAGCTTCTCCTTGCTCTCCTCCACTTGCCTTGCCCAGTCAGACAGATCACAGTGCAGCAAGGAGGTTCTCTTACAGCCTCTCTGGGTGCCAGCAAGCTCATTCGGGGGTCCGTGCCCTCCACACACGCACACACACAGCCTTTCTGTAATGGAACGAGGATGTCTATGCATGGGGATGTCTGTGCATCACCCATCAGGGGGACCAAGAGCCACAGCTGCTTCTCTGGTTCACCCCCAGCAGACCCCCTCGGGACTCCCAACTGCCTCTCCCAGCCCCGCATCAGGAGGTTCACCTGGACCAACTCCCCAGAGTCTTCCTCTTTAATTCCCTCTCTGCCGAACGTTGGGTCACGTCACTGCCACCAGCCACTTGCTTGTGACCCAAAGACCGGGCAGGGCCTCCGCTGTGGGCCTGTTCCTGCTTCAGCGCGGCCGCCCCCGCCCGAGAGACCAGGGCTTCCTCCTGGCTCCCGTGAGGGGCGCACTCCCTACTACAAGCCACCAGCCTCCTTATGCCACCTCCCGGCCCCCAGGGAGAAACCCTCGGGAGCCCGGGACCCCGTGTGGCCTTACCATCCTCCACGCCCCAGGCTGCCGTGTTTGTTCGTGTTGTCTCGGCGCCAGGGCCCTGTTTCGGGTCTCCCAGTCTCTGCTACTGTCCAAGCTCCCTCGCTCGCCGCGTGCCCAGAGACGCCGCTGGACGTGGGGCTAGGCGGGCTACACCGTGTTCCCTGTAAATATTGGTTTGGTTTGGTTTTTAGAATTTTAAGTAGTAAGCAGTTGTGTTTTCTTTGAGGGGGTGGGGCTTGGGAGGGGTTGGTTTGTAAAAATTCTGCTCTTTTCAGAATGTAATTTCTAAGTTTGTTTCTTCAAATGCCTTTTATGTCTCAGTAACATTCCCAAAGCAGAAAACTGCCTGACCCACAGCGGGGAAGCACCGCGGAGCCCTGGGGCCCCAGGAGGGATCACTGTCCTTTCCTCTCCTTTCCGCCCATGTCTCCCTCTTCTCCCTTTGCCCATCTCTGCTCCCTTCAACCAAGAGCCCCAAAGAACCCTGAGGCCCTGTGTCCCCAAGGTCTCTAGACTTGGATCCAGTTGTTGGCACCCTCTGGTCGGGAGGAAGTAGGGGACGGGCTGGGTGTCTGTATTTGAAATGGAAACCAAAGCACTTGGTAGCTTTTAGATGCTGCCTGTTAGGTGCTTTTAGATCATCCCCGAGGACCTGGTCCCCGTGTTTCCCAGCTGCCCTTCTCTGCCCTCTCCCACAGCCCCCAGCAGAGCCCCCACCACACCCAAAGGCAAACCAACTTAAAAACCCCTCCCCGGGCTGACTCTCTGGGCTGTCCCTTCCTTGATACTCCGGGTGGCAGGGCTGAGGATGCAGACCCACCTCTCCTGCCCCCAGACTCCTGCTCTGTTCTGTCACAGGCCCCTGGTCCTTCCCTCGGCCGCCACCGCCTCTCTCCGCCCGTCCTGGTTTCCAGGTCCTCCCTGTCGCACTCCTCCTGTGCATGCATGATGCTCCCCTCAGCTTCACCAGCCCCCTCCCCCAGCTTCCATCACCACATCATCGCTCCGCACTCACCCTCCATCCCACCTCGAGCACTTTGCTGTCGAGAACTCACCCCCAGGCCGTGCTCTCCCACAACCCCCAGGACAGCCTGGGCAGGACTGTGGGAAGAGGAGACAGGGTCTCCCACTTCGCAAATTGGAAAATAGAGTCATCTACTGGGAAGGCAGAATCCACATTAGAGCTTGGAGCCAGAGGATCCACTTGTCCAACAGTCCCATTGCTGGGTAGCTAGAAGACCCCATTATATGCCAGTGCCTGGCTCAGATCCAAACTTGGTCTGCTGTGTCAGCAGAATTGTGTGTCCTGAGAGTCTGGGACCCCCCTCATCAGAATCCTGAGAGCTTCCAGAACACCCCACACGGCCCTGACCATCTTCCATCATTTTTTTGTTTATTTGAGGGGCCACACCCAGTTGTTGCTTGGGGGCTACACCGGTGAGGTGCCCAGGGGTCCAGGCCAAGCATGCTCTAGCCCACTGAGCATCTCTGCAGCCCACAGGACATTTTTAAAAAGTCAATCTAGAGTGCTGAGCCAGGAATTAGAGTCCTGGTCCTCACCTAGCTACGATTTGGTTTAATTATCCTGAAATAAAAAGCATCAGAGGCATCTACAGTCTTCATCATAAGACATTGAAAAGAACCTTCCTGACTCTTGGTTCAGAGAAACAGGAGAAATAGATAAACCCAAAACAAGATTGATCATTCCCCAAACCTGCATGATATCATTTCCATAATCATGCTATAGAGATTTTACTCTGAAGTTCCTGGCAGCTGTGTCAGAAGAGAAAACATCAGTGGGCTGAGTGCATGCTTTGCATGCTAGAGCCCAGAGTCTAATACCTGGCACCGCATAGTTTGCCCAAGCACTGAGTTGTGAAAAATCCCTTAGCACCACTGGGCACACATATCCCGGGGGGCCCCAGAGAGAGAGAGAGAGAGAGAGCTACATTAGACTCCATAACTCAATATGCAGTCATGGGAAGCCAGCAGACTGCCCCAGACCAGCTTCAAACTACTAATTGATAGCGTCTGTCCCTTCTTAAAGACCACCAAGCCCAGTGGCATTTCATGGGTGAACCAAAGATGCATGAATGTTTTTCAGGTGACTTTTAAAAATAAGGGCTGGAGCGATAGCACAGCGGTAGGGTGTTTGCCTTGCACACAGCCAACATGGCCGACCTGAGTTCGATTCCTCTGCCCCGCACGGCAGAGCCTGGCAAGCTCCCCGTGACGTATTCGATATGCCAAACACAGTAACAACAAAGTCTCCAATGGAGACGTTACTGGGCCCGCTCGAGCAAATCGACGAACAACGGGAGGTCCTTTAAAAATAAAAAAAATAAATTGCCACCATGTGAATGACTTTGGCCCCAGATCACCTGGCTCATCTATGCCCCAGTTCCCTGGCTATAAGATGGGTCATCCCCTGCCTCCGGCGCTTCGGACGGCCGGTGCTCCACAAGGCCTGCAGTCCCCCTCGGGTTCCCTGTGGGGCCACATCACACACACTGACCCCAGGCCAGGACCCGGGGGCCACAAGGTAATCTGCACCTTTAAAAAATGTATCAGAAAAATTTATCAACCAGTTATGTGTAGTATAAAATATTTTAAATTCGCAATTTACAAGTTAAATACACGTTTTAAAATAAAAAACTTTTTGTGTTTTTGGGTCACCTCTGGTGCTGCTCAGGACTTACTCTTGGCTCTTCACCCAGGAATGACTCGTGATGGTGCTTGGGACCTCATAAGATGCTGCTGATTGAACCCGGGTTGGCCATGTGCAAGGCAAAATGCCATACCCACTGTAGTATTGCTCTGGCCCCCAAAATATAAAAAATTTAAGTGGCTTGTATTTCATAATTTACTCCAATCACCGTTACTTCAATCACTTTAAATTCTGATCATCCCAAAGCAAA